ACCGAACACTGCTCTCAGGGAGAGGGGGAGAGAGGGAGAGGGAGAGAGGGGAGAGAGGGGAGGGGGATGGGAGGGGAGAGGCTCCAGTGTACCATGGGAACTTTCTGACCCTCTGCTGGTGTATCTGTCATCACTGATACAGGAGTAAGAAGTAGCTTTGAGCTTCTTGACAGGCAATGCACAAAAGGAAAGCGGACAGATTTTTCTTATGCTTCCTTGATGACTAACAGAAGCAAAATGGGAAGTGGGGGAGCTGAGGTCTCTGGCCTCCCTGTCGATTGGTGTCTTCCAGTTGGATAATGACAGACTCCTTAATTCCTCTTACAAGCCTATGCTGTTTCCACTCGAACTGTTAGGGCAACTTTCTTCTTTCTCATCCCCATGAATGTGGTCCTTTGATGCACATCTCAGAGAAGAGAGGAAGATTTGGGGTTTGTTCATTTAAAGGGGAAAAGAAAAGAGAACTTCAATGTGGGCCACTCAAGGTTCCAAAGGGACCACCAGAGCTCAGGAGTTCAGGAGCTCAGGGTTACAAATATGTCATGACAGTTAGTTATAAATGGGTTGTACTCAGCAGACTTACCTGGGTTTCTGTCAAGCACACATTGTTCTTTGCTTCTGCCTCCTTTTTCATGCCTGGATGTGTTGGACCTTCTTGCACCCTATAAAAGGTGGATAGTATTGCTTGATTTGCATTTAACTATTATCTGTGCTGCCAAGACTTTGTGGTACCTACTCATGTCCTTGCTGTTTCAGTGGTTCTGTTCTCTACTACTGTATATCTCCACATGCTTAAGACATCAAACCTGCGAAGCAAAACCTGGAGCCAGGCCGTCAGGATGCCCTGTTCCCAAGCCCCTGCTCCTCAAGGCACATTGAAGAACAGTTGTCCTTCTCTAGTCCCTGCCCATGACGTTCGTGGGACAGCTATCGTGCCAAACATAGAGATGCAACCATCTCAAAGAGTTAAGTGGTTACAGGCTTCACAGCCTGATGCCAGAGAAGCTGGCGTAATACTCCAGATGACTAAACAGAATTTAATGAACCAGGACAAAGTCAAGTCATGTACGGCATTTTCTGAAATGAAGTTTTTTTTTAATTTGCCAAGCCTAATGGAGTTTCTCCAGACTCAACAATGCAATAGTTTCCTAAAGCAAAGATCCTAGGATTTATTTCCACAAAGCTAAGAAAATGTCCGTTTTCTCTCTGTGTTTCTCATTCTTCCTTATCTCTCACTTGCTCTGTCTCCTTGTGCCAGTCTCCTCCCCACTTACCTCCATGTGAGGAGCCTGGGTGAAGCCTAGTCCATACCAAGCACTCACTTTGTCCCTGTCCTCCAACTCCCTCACATCAAAAAGTGTGTTCAAACGAGTCTGCATACTCATTTTAGAAGATATAGACTCAAATTTGAAGATTAAATAGGTTTCTGCATTTCAATACTTATTAATCTTTATGTGTCTATTGTGTGCAGGTCCAAATGTTGTCTGGTATTCAGGGACGTTTACTCACTTGAATGGCTGTTTTATGATTTCACATGGTATCAGAACACTGTCTTGTACTTTTCCATTTGACTAAGACTATTTATTTATTTATTTATTTATTTATTTATTTATTTATTTATTTTATCATTTCATCCTGGCCTGAACCCTCTGACAGCTTTCAAAGACAAGAATCCCTTCTCCTCCAGTTATTCTCAAAGTCCAAATATAATTAACTCAATCTTAAAGTTATTTGCTACAAACTAACCAAAAGTCTTTGGGTAGCCCCACTAATAGAGCAACATGTAGCCAGCTAGCAAAGCTAATGATATATTCTCTTTAAAATAAGTTTGGTGATTTTTTTTTTGCTTTCCCAAGTGAGACTATTTAGACAGATACTTGACTGAAACAACTCTCCTCTGATATATCAGAGATTAGGAGCAAGACCCAAAAAGCTGGAATGACCTCAAAGATCACAATATGACATCACATTTCAAAGATGAAGGATTAAATATTCAGTCTCAGAAATGTCAAGAATAGCCCTAATTAGAGATAAAGTATCCATTACAGCTGATGGAGAGTTACGTTCAGTGTCGGTTCTTAGCCAGTCAGGGTTGCTCTCAAAAAGAACATTGAAGCTGCTGGGTTTGTTTGTTTGTTTGTTTGTTTGTTTGTTTGTTTGTTTTTGCAGTTATTGTCAAAAGATTGAGGGGCCATTAATTAACCTTGAAAGCAAGAGTAGAAGATGTTAATGAAGAATCCTAGGGATGTCAGCTCTCCCTCCACAGCCTCCGAGTTCCCTTGATGCTCCTAGTAACCCAGATACTGATGCACATGGGTTCAACTTATCACACAGTGTGTAAGTCAGTACTGTCCATACTGTTGGAACTATTACCGGCCTCTCTGAAGCAGGCATATACAGTCACTCCTAATCAAAACATCATACCATGCCTGTAAAGAAAGAAAACGTCACCAGCCCCCTGCTTCTTCCCCCAATAACGTGATCAAAGTTTTAGGAAACTACATAGTTTATAACATGCAAAGTACACTGTTTTTTTGTAATGTGATTGATACCAAAAGTCCCATTTGACTAGTTTGGAATTAGACTTGAAATCTGCACCTAACACAATACAGCAAATACTGCTAGATGATAACTGAAACCTTTCACCAGGGTAATTACTTCCTTAAGTCGCCTTTCACGCATCACAAGAAATACAAGTGGCTTTTGGTCTTAAAATCTCTCTATACATTAGAAAACAAATGATAGCAGTTGGAGAGATGGGTCAGCATGTAAGAGCACTGGCTGCTCGTGAAGGGGACTCCTACTCAGACTGAGTTCAGACTCCATACTCCCATGACCACTTACAGCTGCCTGCAACTCCAGTTACAGGGTATCCAATGGACTCCTGGGACACTAAACACATGTAGTGTACGGACAAGCATGCAAGCCAAACACTCAGACTCAAAATAAAAGCAAACCATTCTTTAAAATAACAAAGCATCAAGTTACTATTTGAAATGTCTTTATTTATTAAATAGGCATCTTTCGTGTTCACAAACACAAAATAATCCTCATTATTTTGACAGTGAAATCAATAAACTCTGGTACTTCTGAATAGTGTGAGTCCTCTACTTCCTATCCACCCACTGCCCACACCCAATTTTTATTTCCAAGTCATATTTGGGTGGATAGCTATTTATTGAGAACATCTTCAGAAGCTATTCATTGTATAAAAACTAATTGTTACTGTGGATAGAAATGACCACAACCACAGCCCATTATCAAATTACTAACTGGCTTACGAAGCTTCTGAACAGTTCCTAAAAGGAAGACCCAGAGAAAGCTTTCTTTAAAAGCTGTTGTAGGAGCTGTGTCTGGTGATGCAAGCATTTAGTCCCAGCATACAGAAGGGGAGGCAGGAAGACTGCAATTTCTAGACAAGTCTGGGTATAGAGAAAGCCTGAAAACAAAATAAAACCAACAAGTGTAGGGGTAAGGTGGCTGGCAAGATTGCAAGAAAAGTCAAGAGCGCCCTCTTGTGGCATAAAAACGGTGCTCATTCTTCATTTTCTATATTATGATAAAAAAAACAGTGATGCCCCTTCATTCTCCATTGTAATTAAAAAGCAAACTGTGATTTTTTTCCCTCCCCTTTCACTCTCCATTCTTCATCAATTTCCTCAGAAGAATACACCTTAGAAAGGAGCCACAAATAGGCGAAAAGACTACAGGGCAACAATCCCAAGGAGATCGGATATTAACTTTTCCTTCCCTTAGGCTATTTTCTGCTCAACCTAGGGCCTGATAAAGCTGGTTGAAAAGACACACACACACATCCCTAGGTAAGACCCCCTTCTCACAGGCTCTAAGAGAGACTAAATAACACTAAAAAAAAAGGCTGGGGGGGGGGGGGGAAGCAGTTCAGTAGTGGAGCGCTTGCCCAGAATACAGGAAGCTGAGCCCCAGCAAGGGGGGGGGGGCGTTGAGGAAGGGTTGAAGGGAGAGTGTTGGCCACAAAGGCTTCTGCATCCAGGACGAGAGACCACAAATGGAAGCAAACAGGCAGCGAAAGCCACTGTGGCAAGCGCATCCGTGTGGTATCTGTACCTGTGGACTTGTCCACCCCTTTCCCTAATAGAGAAGTTTCCAGCTTGAAGCTTGAAAAGAAGGCAGAGAAGAAAGCACTGCTGTACACCCATGGCTCATCTCAGGAACAGGTCTGTCCACCCAGTCTCCAGGACACCTAGGAGGCCCTTTAACCCCAACTGCAGCTGGAAAAACCTTGTCACCGTATGGCACTCCCTAGCACGCTCTCCATACTTGAGGGGAAATGATACTAGCAATTTTAACTCACTCTCCCTGTCTTTCAGCCCTATGCCTCCTCAGCAAAGCCAGTTTGCCTTGGTCAGGGAGGTAGGTGACTCCTTAGGAGGCACACTCAGTGCTCTCTCAGTCCTTCAGTCCTCTCAGAGACTGCCAGGAAAAACCTGACTGGAGGTTGTAGCAGTCCTTGGGCCTACCTGGGTGCTCCTTGCTCTCCCTTATCTAACTCTGAGCATGCACTCACTGTGTCAGAGAACATATTGTCGCTACAATGAAGGCCCTGTTAGACTTAAGAGTATTCAAAGATGAATGGTGGTGTGTACTTTGAACTTACAGAGTAGTAGTGTGAGCCCTCTGTGGTGGTTTTTGGAAGTACTAAGGCATGAACTGTCTCTGTCAGTTTTATCTGTTTTATTTGTTCAAGGAAGGGGTGACAGTCCAAGGTTCTGCCTGCAACTAGCCATTGTCTGGGGAAGGGTTTTATTATTGCCTGGTCTGAACTGAGTCTCCATAACAGACCATGCAACCAGCACCAGCCCTCTCTAGGCCCAGCCTCCCCTTCCCTTCTCCCACATTGTTCATGGATTATGTAATTGAAGTTTCTGGGGTGGAGGAGAGTAGAGAAAGAAAATCTTGTGTCCTGTCTAAAGAAAAAGTATAGGCTAGTATATCCATTGAAAGGCAAACACCAGCACACAGATGTTCAGGCCTGGAAGGCTGAGGTTTATTGAAAAGTTTAGATACGAACCTTTAAAATGTTACAAAGTTGTATCATTCATTCTGCCTGCATGTATGAGCTGATATCAGTTATTCCTGCACCTTCAGTAACTAGGTCGAAAAACTTATCAACTGTCCTGCTGGTGATAGCCATCGCCAGCGAGCCATGTGAACAGACGAGGGCTTCCAGTTCGCAGGCTCAAAGCAGGCTCAGGAAAATACTATACATACAACACTGATTCTCAAAGCGAAATTCCTGAGCTGAGCTCTGTCTGAAAACATCATTTGTGTGAAATGGAATTGGAACGCTCGCCATGAGCAAGCAGCTTTGGCCTCATGCAGGCACCATCATGGCAGCCACATTCCCTTCTGATAAATTAGTGGTTTGTCCCTTCCCAGAACGTATCTCCACAGAAAAGTGACCGGACTACACATGTGGAACCAACACAGCTCATTGTATTACTCTTCAAGCTTTTGCTTTTGCTTTTTTTTTTTTTTTGATCAGTGCAGACTGCTTTTCAAGAGTCTATGGTTTTTTTTTCTGTTTTTTGTTTTTTTGTTTTTGTTTTTGTTTTTGTTTTTTGTTTTTTTTGGCTTGGCCTGAAAATTTTTGTTATTGAAATCTGAAGAAACTGAAGAGAGAATATTTCTACTCCTGGAGAAGCTGAGATAACACTGGATTTCACTAGGTAGCTAGTGCATAAAAACATGAAAATGTTGTTTGGATAGGTGAGCACAGGAATTCTGGGCTGGAAAGCCCTCTAAGGTAAAGAGATGAGAACTGAGTACTTTGGGGTCTTTTCTCCTTTGTCTTTGGTTTTCTAGAGACAAAGTCTCACTCTCTAGATGAACCCTAAATCTAACAGTGGTCTTCCCGTCCCAACCTCTGGAGAGCCTAGATTGCATGTTTGTGCTGCTGTGTCAAGCTCAGAGCAAGGAGCTTTTCACAGTGTGTTCAAGTCACTGGCAGACTTATTTCTGCCAGCAAACAATAGCTTGAAATGTCCTGTATGTGTTCCCTTGGGTTGTGTGAGAACAGAAAAGCAACTTTCAATTCCCGAGGGTTTGAGGCAATGATTCTGTGAATAAAGGCCTTGCTGCACAAGCATGAGAACCTGAGTTCCTGTCCCTAGAATCAGTATAAAAATGCTGGGTGGGACATCACATTCCACAGCATGGGGGAGAGGGAAGTTAGAGACAGGCAGATCTTAGAGGCTCACTGGTCAGCCAGTCTAACTGAAATGTTAGGCTCCCGGTTCAGCAAGAGACCCTGTCTCAAAAAGTAGAATGGGAAATGACTGAGGAAGACACCCTGATGTGAGTCCTAACTTCCACACCAGGAAGGCCTGGCCAGCACACAGCACACACTTACGCATGCATATGCACAGCACATATGCACTGAAAACAATCGAAAAAGGTAAACACAAGGATTACAACGACTTTTCCACGTAACACCCATACTTTCTAAAGACTTAAAAAGACATCCCTGGTTGTGACGCTGGCTTGTCAGTCACAATGAAGCACAAGAGAGCTAGGGTGCTTCTTATTAACCAGAGAGCAATGTACATCTTCGACGTCATCATTTTCTTGCAGATAAAAAAATACGAATGATCAAGACAAGGAAACCGCAAGTATTTTACAGAAATCAAGCAAACATCTGGTTTTGTTCCCCTACTGAAGAGGAAGCATCTCAAGTCTGGCGTTCACTGGTATTTCTTCATTAGACTGATTACTTCATCATACAGCCTCCAGGGGGCATCCAAACCCCAAATAAAATCCAGATGTTCCCACTCAGGAATGTGCTTGTGGTACACCAACTTGGGGATTTCAGTCAGTAAGATATTGATGTCACTGGTGTCTGCCAGCCAGTCCCGGCCGCCGCTCCACAAGGCGGTGGGTAGCTGCATGTCTTTTATGTTGTACAAGGGAGGATGACTCTACAAGAAAAAAAAGATTCATAGAAAGCTTTGCAATTATTCCTGCAATTATTAAAAAAATTTTAAATTTTAATAAATGAAACCTCCATGGAAAAACAAGCAGCTAATAAATCTGATTTGAAAGTTTAAAAAATTAATTAAAAAAAAAACACGTTTTGAGAACTGCTTCCATTATGTTTTTCAGGTAGTCATTACAAGAAGCAGAGTTGTGGAGATGTTTCCCACCGCTGCACTGTAGGGACCACTTAATCCCCCGTGAGCATCACAGTTTTCCCCAGATGTGGAGTCAAAGCAGTAGACTCAACTGGACAGGGAGGCATTGTGGGATCATCTCTTCACTCCCTCTCCCTCTCAATGCAAGAGAAGTCACACGAATCCTCCCTGCCTCCATTTTCTGAACTCTATACCACACACAAGGGCTCTCTCAATTTAGAAAAGCAGAGAGAAAGGTTCTCATGCTTTAGGAAACTCCGTGATCAAAAATGGAAATTTTACTTGCACAGAGAAGAAATGGTTTAAAAGCCCTGTGATATGTCTAGCAAGCTGGAAACAGCATGGAGGCTCTTTGGCTCTAAGGAGTATGTTTATGATCCTACTGCATCACAGTGACCTCTTATTTACAACCAAAGGGATGAAGACAGGAGACCTGGACCATACCACCACTGACAGATCTGGAAAGATCTGAGTGGACTGAGGGAAAACATCATAACTAGGCAATTCTGTCAATAACATTCCCTCAGTGTTCGATGTCCCAGGGCAAGGGAATGCCAGGGTGGGAAGACAAGGGTGGGGGGTGAGGGAGGATGGGGAGCACCCTCACAGAGGCAGGGGTGGGAGATGATGAGATGAGGGTTTCAGAAGGGGAGACCTAGAAAGGGGAAAATATTTGAAATGTAAATAAAGGTAATATCCAATT